AAATATGTATTGAAATACAAATACAAAATACTTCGTCAAAAATGTATTTAATTACAAATCTAATTACATTTCCAAAAAAGCATTTAAATACAAGATACAAATGCAACCAAATGTATTTGTTCCCCTCCAAATACTTTTCCAAATACATTCCTCAAAATTTGCGTCAGCGACTTCAGGGCACAACGGGTTTCTGGGTATCTCATTTTAATTTTGCATCGCACACTCGGGAGTTAGTGTGCGAACCCCTAGTAGCGTAATAGAAATATAATCACAAAAAAATGTAATCGGCTTGGACGTAATAGGTGAAAAAAGTACAGAGCTTCAAGCAGCTTTTTTTTGTCGATTAGATTTTGCTATAGACCAACAAAGAACCGAGACGACCAAGACGCGAAGCACTATCTAGAGGATTTTTTATTGTTGCAACTCGCACCAGTTACGAAAATCTGGACGACCCGCGCATTTAGAATGTTCCAGGCAAAAATATGGATGGAAATCGGGCTGGAAAGCATCACAAGGTGTCACAGGCACTTATTTAGCCAGTCTGCCTGTGAACGTCGATTTCGTCACTGTTTTTGCCCTGGACTAGCACCGTAATCACAAAGTCACTAAACGCTTCTGCTTGATTGAGAAACACTGCATTCAGTGCACAACATAGTTTTCTTCCTGCTCTGGACAGTGCCTTTAAAATGAAGCCGGAGGAGAAAAAAAAAGCCCCATGGCCGAATAAAGAATGGAGATTACATCTTACAACCACATGCATAAAAACAAGATGTATTTTCACCCACAAAATTGTATTTAATTACAATCGTATTTGAAATACCCACGTATTAGTATTTAAATACACACGTCAAATACATTACCCAATTTGTAATTAAATACAAATGCAAAATACACAAAGTATTTGAAATACGTATTTCAAATACTTGTATTTAAAATACTGCCCACCCCTGCCTCCAGGTCACTTCACCCCCCCCCCCCCCCCCCAGTACCCTTCCCTCCTCCTCCTCAAGAGCTGCACTCTAATTCGGTGTTACAGGGAGTTGCAAACAACTTTTTTTCTTTTGAAATTTCATTCCCAGTCTCAGGATTTTGCATCATGTACAAACTAAACTTACTATATGCCAGCGTCACTCCGGCGGCGTTCGATCGGACTACTAGCAGCGTGCAAAGGGGTAGGGGGGCAGTTTGCCAGATCCCTTCAAGGTTTTTCTGAGCCTCAACCACCTGCCTGCCCCTGGCCGTTTCGAACTGGATGAGTATCGTTAAACAGTGCGTTCGTAGGATCACTACTTCGTGATGCACCACCCCGGGCTGGCGGTCACAATTACTGATCTACTGTCACAGGTCACTCTGCACTGGAAAATATTCCAGCGCATCCTGGACACTCGTCGTCTCATTTAATTGCCTGACCAACTTCGCACAGTCTAAATATCATACCCAAACTTTTCTAAACCTGGTTTCGTGAAAACCAGTGAGACGTGAAAACGGTATTTGAAGCTGAGACTGTGGCGGAACATGAAAACCGGACTTCGAACTTTGCGCACTTGGACTTCAAAGAAATCGAAAACATTCAAAGTTTTCTTTTTTTTAAAATTTAGCTTTAAAAAGGATTAGAAATTTTCGAACTTTATGTAGAAAAAAATTTGAAATCTTCGAATTGAACGACTTTTATGTTGTTAAGAATTCAAAACATTAAAATTTTTCGAACTTTAGATCCCAAGAAATTCGAAATATTCGAGTCTCTCGAATTTTAAATTAGGGAAAATTCGAAATCTTCGAATTTATCGAACCTCAAGTAAACAGATATTCGAAATAATCGAACCCAAACTTTTAGAAACCGTGAAAGCTTCGAACTTTTCGAATTCAAAACCCCACGAATTTGGAAAGTTGCGAATTTTTCGAATTCGAACCTCCGTATGGTCGAAAATATCGAAACTTTTCGAATCGAACCTAGGGTGGTTCGCGGCATCCCTAATAAAAACTGCTATCCAAACTGTACAAATGGTTGAAAATTAATTTAAGGCTGGAGAAATTAGGAAGTAAAAAAATTATTGGAAACCTCCCCTCATGAAAGGTGCCACGGCTCTCCTAGATATCGCATTGCCTGGGTCTGGATCATTGCCGCGATGTGATCGGTGCTTCCACAGCAATGGCAACTACTCCATTTTAAACTTTCAAGGGGAATGTGCAAATGAGATTATTAGGATCTTGTAAGGTCGGTCAGAGAACAACATTCATGGCGTAGTCTGTGGCAGCTTAGGGTATGCGTGCATTTTGAGTAAGAACAAACAGCCCTCGGAAAGACAAGACTTTAGATTACCCGCATGAATTGTTGAGGGTCCAAGCGGAGCAGTCTTTTCAGACTTTTAGGACTGCACACTACTAAATGTCAGTCTGCCCATTTCAACTGTGTCCTATAGTGATCCTTTCACCTTTCATCTATTATTGGCTATTTATTGAAGAAACTGGGCTATCTTGTTTAGTACTACTGTAGTTCAGATGTTGTCCAGTCATGCCACGAGTTCGTTCCCGGCCTAGTATATACGGGGTGTGTTTCCTAAGACAAAAAATATTCAAAACAAAAGGGACACTATAAATAAAGAAATTATTCCTGGAGGATAACATAGATGATTGCGGTGAATGTCGGGGCACGAGTATAAAGAATCAATTATGGCCTAATTAACTCAAATTTGCTGACAAACTTTTAGCTATTTTTTTTAGCTGACCTATCTCAATTGAAGATTTGCACTTCATCAATTGGAGATTTGCAGCCATTTGGCCTAAATATAGGCCAAATGAGTCACTAAACTCCAGGAAAAAAAAAAAATATTCTTAGAGTTATGACGCGGCGAATTTCAGTAGCTGCAGCAGTGTGGAAACGAGACTAAGATGGCAAAGAGCATAAAACACCAAAAGTCAGACCAATGCGTCGCCAAACACCGCCTTTTTTTGGGGGCAGTATTTTTTGGGCATTTTGCACTTTTTGCTGGCTGAGTCTCGTTTGTGCACTGCCGCAGATACCGAAGCTCACCACATCACAACTCAAAGAATCATTTTTTACAGCGGAGCTGTTAAGGGCTAGTTTCCCCAGCTTTGTGTCCGTGGACAAATAAATCTCGACACAAAACTTCTGGACAGCTACCACGATCTATGAGCGACGGCGGCAACCTTTCCAGCCTTTCCACCCTGGTTTTCACCAGAGTGGAAAGCTAAATTTCTCTAGGCGTTGTCTTCAACGTCGTCTTAGAAGTCGTCTTTCAGGTCGTCCTCTTGGTCGTCCTTGAGGTCGTCCTAGAAGTCGTCTTTGAGGTCATCCTAGTCGTCATCCTTGAGGTTGTCCTAGACGTCGTCTTGAGGTCGTCCTAGACGTTGTCCTCTAGGTCGTCCTTGAGGTCGTCTTAGACGTCGTCCTTGAGGTTGTCTCACCATAGTACAGCTCCACAGCTCTTCCTTCACCAGAGTGGAAAGGCCGAAAGTTTTTTTTCTAAAATATAACAGCTCACAAAGGACAAGCAGGAAATCTCCAATGACAATATGCCAGTCAAAAAAAAAAAAAAAAATAGCTGAAAAGTTTGCGAATTTAAGTTAAGCCACTAATTGTTTCTTCGTACTTGTGTGCCGACATCCGTCACGGGCAATAACGTCGTCCTGCGTGAGTAATTTATTTACAAGTTTTTTTTTTTTTTTTTTCAAATAATTTTTATTTTAAAAAAAACATCTTAAGCATTATTAAGTATAAATAGCAGTAAGGTCTATGAACAGATTGAAACTGGTATCGTCCGTAAATAAATTGATGACCCAAAAAATCCAGGAAAGCAACCGGGTAAAATGATAGTTTCCGTTCGTGAAATCTAGAAATCTCGATGCACGCTTTCTTCGACGGGCATTTGAAAAACCTTTTCTCAATTTGTTGTTTGCATGCCCGTGACTGTCGTCCATTACTTGGGTTGCATAAAACACAAATGAATGCTTAAAGGGAAGATGGGGCACTTCTACATTTGAGAAAAAACACTTGAATTGCGTTCATTTGGCCTTTAGAATAACAGATATCAAAATTATATTTCAATGCGACGCGCCGGAGAGCCACAAGAGCAATTTCAAAATAGGGCTGAAGCCCCGCCCCCCTAGCCTTGGGCAGCCAAAAGAGCCGTCGATGACGTCACGGACAGCGACTGTCTTTCGCGTTTTTCTCGCGTTTAACAATACTTACGCAGCAAATGGTTTGGGTATTCGGGTTCACGGGGTAAAAATACACTAGAATTCACTTCTAACTCATTTTTTCCAAGAAGCTCCGTAGCTTCCCTTTAAGAATCTACTCCAAAATTACCCCCATCCGTGAGGAAACAAATAACTCGGTGCAATATCGTCGTCATTATGGATGGTTTCGAGGATCTCCGTTTCACGAGGGTAGCTCGAGAGTTTCGCTAAATAGCGGCAAGAAAAACGGAAAATCAGTAAATTAAACTCTACCGAGCACTCGAATAGATCGCAACTCTGCATAGAATTGAGGCCCCAGAGTTCCAGATATAAACTACATTAGCTCTCGGAAAAAGGATCTCGGCAATATTATGGTGCCTGGAACGTGCCTCTGACTGATGCGTTTAGCATACCGATGGCGGAAGAATTATGGTCCCAAAGTGGCAACAAATTATGTTGCGGGAGTCCCAGGGTCATGCTGTCTACAAACCTTATGCTTTTCTGCTTCCTCGTGTATATCAGAGTGTCGCCAGCCATACCACCAAAGTCTGCTTCATGTCCCTCCGTTCCGAAGCAGCCAAAATGGGCGGGACCTTTTTCTCTAGATTATCTTAACTCCATGGCGCCACCGCCAAGATGGGGGCAGGCAATGTGGCAGAAGTGCAACGTCACCAGGAGGAAATGGAGGGGTCAGGAATGAGGATGTGGTAAACGTGCCAATCCCAGATACGTTCTAGGCGCCGTAGCGGTAGAGTAGAACTCCAGAAGTTGCCGAGACGAGGACCCCCTCACCCAATTTGCAGGTGTGGAATGGCACTGGTACACTCTAGGGTTCGGCGAGTGTTCTACGGCCAAGCAACACCGTGGGGTGCCCTGGGCACGTGTCGCAAGTTGCACGTGCAGCCAGGACTCAACCACCACTTTGAAGTGTGGCGAGGCCTGCTGCGGCAGAGAACGGACGTCGTCACATGACACATCCTCTGGGTGGACATTTGTTTTGAAGGGAGCTCCTGCACACTCGCTTCGTTATTTGGTGGCATAATTTACTTTGGGAGATTGGGAAGATTTTATGTAATAAACGCTCGATTTTATAAAACTCTGGCGTTGTGCATTGTATAGGTGTGATGTCAGTCATGGTGCCTAAAGTTGTACATGCGAGTGTTAGTGCAGTTTTCCTCTTTCCAGCTTTTGTCTCGATTAGTGCTGCCATCTTGTGCCCCGTATGTAAAATGCTTTTTTCCGTTTTTAAACGAGGAAGAAAATAAATACCTCCTCGTTCTACAGTGGACTGAGTAGTCGCGAAACTTTTTACACCCAAGCAGTAAAATAGTATCGGACTAAGGTGCAACTACCATAAAATCCCGAGAGATACCCCACCCCCGATGGGTAGCCCGCCCCCTATTTTTGGCTCGATTTTGTCATGGGGGGCCCGCCCATGACAAAATGCTGTATGAGGGGGAGCAGGGGGAGGAGGCCCCAGCAAAATGAAAGATTTCAGGGGGGGCCATGCCCCCCCCCCCCCCCTCCCCCTGGCTACGTGCCTGCAGTGGCATCCCTGTAGTGAAGGTCCTTCCTGGCGACCCTCCGCCACCGATGCATGGATTGCAGCCCTCAAGTTTCGCCTAGCACCATCGAAACATAGACATTGTGAGTTGCGACCTGATATTGCCGGCACAGGTACGAGCTCTCCGAGAAATAGCGCGCTCGAGACGCAGGTCACGGGGCGCGCTCGAGATCAGCCGACGGCACAGGAGGCCACGTCTGGCCTCCTTCCTGGGTTTCAGATCACCAAAGCAGTGGGTCACATTCACGTCGGCTGATGACTTACCCCTGAGCCGTGCAATATAACGGGCGCAGCCAGCCCGTTATATTGCACGGCTCAAGGGTACGTCATCAGCCGACGTGAATGTGACCCACTGCTCTGTGTTGAAATTCACTGCGTGATGCATCTTACTATTTCAAGTCGACCACCGCCAGGCTCGTAATGCAACGGACTGTGACTCAGCTTTGCCGGCTGGGTGCACTGTGTACGCTAAGGCAAGAGAGACGGTTAGCAGCGGGCATTGGATGCCAGCAAACGATGGCTCAAGAAATCCCTACCTAAGGACCGGCAGCAGAAGATGCTCCGACTCCATCCCTGGCATGCCACCTGGTTCAAGTCCCCGACTACGCAACACTTTGCAGAAAAGAGAGCAGGAAGCATAGAAAAATAGTTTCGAGAATTGGAAGGAACCTTGGTCAGCATAGTAACAATGCCCCAGCATCTCCTTGATCCTGGAGAAAAAAAAAGAAAAAAAATGACCGCATCTTTACATGGTGAATGATGTTGATTGGGGCGAAGCTCTGGTGGTGCTGATGATACCGATTTTATTGTTCATAGGTAGTGCTGATGGTGCCGATTTTTTTTTTTATTGCTCGGGTAGTGCTGAGTTTCGGGTTGCGTTTCGACTTCATTATTACTGCTTTATGGTCGGTGAAATGCAGAGCCAGTGGTTCTAGCAGATCAGCTTGGATCCGCTAGAAGCCATGGCAATGCATCTCCACCGCTTAAGTCAACGGTCCATTTCGGAAAGAGAATGTGGTATGGAACGTGGTTATATACGCATTTGACCGCAGCGCCCTCTCGTCTATAAACGTTGAGCCAATGCATGCTAAGTTTAACGCGATTATATACGCATTTGACCACAGCGCCCTCTCCTGTATAGACGTTGAGCGGCTACATGAAACGTTTCATCCATGACATCCCCAGCTCTTCTCAGAGCCCCCTACTCGTCCCGCAGTCGTGGCCAAGTGGTTAAGGCGATGGACTAGAAATCCATTGGGGTCTCCCCGCACAGGTTGGAATCCTGTCGACTGCGCAAACATTTTTTCTTTTTAAGAAGACAGATGGGATGGCAATCGATGTGAGCACGGACGCCGGACAAGGCTAGACCCTAATGAGCTTCGCCCCTAAAAAGTGGGAAACGAAATGCCAGTCAAGCACTGTTTACAAACAAGGAATTACATTCAAGGATGCCAGTGCACACGCATTTGACTAGAACATTAAAAATAGATGAGCTAATATTCTAAATTCATTATCGGTGCGAATAACTGCCTTCGAATACTCTGTTACAAACTTCAGAATTTCCCATACTTACGGATCTGTTCTGCGCTTGCTCCACTGCGTTGACCTGCAGCAACTTTGTTGTGACTGTCAATCCCCCGCAGTGCACGGCATATGTAAGGAGAAGCCTCCTTAAAGGGAAGCTGAAGAGCTTTTCGAAAAAAATGAGTTAATGGTTGATTCTGACGCGTTTGTGCCTGCTGAGTCCAAACATCACAACCATTTGACCCAAAATAATCCCTAAACGCGAAAAAAAGCGAAGAAATCAGAAGCGATCGCCGCAGCGGCACGCCATTGGCTAGCCACGCGTGACGCGCCACTACGTCATAAAAGGACCATCTCGATTCTCGTTTGCTTCGTCGCTTGCGGAAGTAGCCGGGCGCCGGGTCTTCTGCTCTCGTAAATCGGGTTCGGCTTCTGATTTTTTGAAATCTTTCGGTGAATCCGAAAGAGGAATGTGTCCAAACGACCCTCGACGTGACAAAGTACGCGTTTCTGCCTTTGGCGAAGTAGGAAAATGACCCCCCGCAGTAATAAACACACAGACGAGGAACCGCTTGCGCGGACGCGAGCGACATGGCCGGCTTTGTACCTTCAGGAATGTACTGACCGCTACTTATTGTGACCTAAAACGTTGACAATAAACGGAGTGCTATTGACGGGACGCCTCAAGCCGGATTAGCGTGACCCTCCCCAAAACGGTCGTCAGAGGACAGGAATTCTGCACACATCGGCCTTCGTGCTTGCCAGCTGCTGGACGCGTGAGCGTGCAGACTGCGTTGTTCATCAAGGCTGAAGTGGTTTGAAGGGATAGTATAATCGGCTTCGGGCGACGGGAGAGCTTCCCCTGAGATGAGACGGGTGATAAAATTGGGTCGCCGTTCTGCCAACGCCATGTCCTTGGGCACTATGCGTATAACTGCGCAAAAGGTCTATCCTTGTCATAGCAGTACCCTCTGTTGCATTTAGTTTGTTTGCCGCAAACTAAAGCGGAGATGTGTGCCCGCACCCCTTAATTTTATGTCGAATTCGTTAAAGCTTCCTGGGCCTCTACATTCGCATACTTTTACCAAGATTTGTTGACTGCATCACACCGCCACCAAGCATTATCATCGTCCGATCGCATTTATACTGCACAAAGAATTGTTGCATTACAGAAACATTATACGGAAAACACTGCGTAACTTGTAAAAAAAGAACTCAATTCAGAACAGAAGGTCACATGCTTTGTATTTCCACAACGCTCTCCTGAAGAGAATATGAACCTTTGGAAGGAAAATTTAACACAATTTAGGTTTACGTTTAAAAATTATGTGACCTCAAATAATGTCAGCAACTGTAAAAAAAAGTTTATGCTAAAACAAGTTGCACCGTGAAAGTCGCAGTATGAATTGCATGACTACTTATTAGAGCAAGCCCTCCTCTCCCAAGTGACTGGGTAGCCGAGTAGATTAAAAGCAAAAGAAAATAATCTTGGGCTACCCAAGATTGTTGTCTTTTGTTTCCCAGATTTCCCGGACCGAAGTCGGTCTGGAAAATATGGTAACTTCAACATAAGAAACCAACACTTAACACTAATATAAGGCGGTTAACACAAGAGAGCGAATAGAAACCCGCTATTCGGCTAAATCATCGCGGCTTTTCTAGCACACTGCACAGTTCTAATAACGTAATAGTTTTTTTCTAGAACAGTCGACCTACAATTCCTAGCCAGTTACGTTTCCTCTTGGCTTGTGACTTTTAATGCGCTGAATTGCCTTTGTACTTTCAAAGATGGTCGGCAGAGCGTCGGATTCAGGCGAGCCTTCTTCAGACCCAAACCCATACGTACATAGTTTTCATATGCGCCGTCCGAAACACATTTCGAACAAAAAACGGTGTACTTGCTCAAACCCACCCACCCCTTTAAAATCTCGGTGACGAAGTGGAAAAGACAGTAAGCGGGAAGAACAATTGCGACGAGCGCTGTTCGTGAAAGTTGGCGGCTACACAGGAGTACGGCATCGTGCAACACAGCACGAGTCACTTGGTTCGGTGCCACGAGAATTCCGCAAACCCGTGAACAAACAAGAAAACAATCAACACGACAGGCGATTGAGTCAATAGCATGACCACTCGAGGGATAAAAGCAAGCGCTATGCAGCGGCAGAACGACGACGGCTCGAAAAGACACTAGCAGCCTACGAGGAAAGCGCGGCCATCCGCGGCGGGGTCCCCCAGCCGGTCCTTTTGTGACGCCGGCTGTCGGGCTTCCTCCTCTCTCCCCTTTCCCTCTGCTTCGGAGAGGCGTGGCTTGGGCGCTCCTTTGAAGGCGCTTTTCCGGTTAATCCGCGCAGAAAATGACCAAACGAATCAGATATTCGTGATAGGTGAGGTCTCGTTAACTAGGTTCAGGTGTTTTTTCTCATATATAAAACCGCTTCAGCTTCCCTTTAAGAGGCATATTGGTACGTACGGGTTCTCAAACTGGGTTCGTAGGAACTCGAGGGTAAGTAAGCTCGAGGGTTCCCCCAAATTCGTACACTCGAGATGGTTGCTTTGCACGTCGGCTGCTCCGGCTGTAGTGGCCACGGAGTGACCGCTCTTCCCATTGAGACTTTTCACCTTAAGTTTTTCCTCTCAATCAGGACAGCTTGCAAGCTCTGTATGTGCTCCCACTAGACAATTTTAAAAAAACCCGTGCTTTGACCTACTCTTTGTACTATCGTCTTAAAAACAAAACCAAATCACTAAAACATTCTTTTGAAAAAAAAAAAGGAAAAAAAAGAAACAGGGCTACAAAAATATTTTTCTATAACTGCGTGCCAAACTACCTAGGTTATAGGCCTCTGAACTTGTCCGTATCAATGCCAAAACCAAGAGGGGTTGGTCAACTGTCAGTGAACTAGGGGTTCCTCGAGATGAAAAAGTTTGAAAACCCCAGTGCGAGAGTAGTGGAGGTTAAACACCAGTGTCCATTTGTAAAAATGACTGAATGGAGTTCTGTATATTGGGGCTTCAAGTTTCACAAATCGGACTACTTTTAAATCGGCATGTGCTCACAAAATCACTAGCATGATGCATGTTAAAGACCCTAGGCTAGTAGTTGTACTGTACCGGTC